ATGGGGCCTTGCTCCCTAACCTGTAAAGACCTACCATCCTGGCCTCCCCGTGGACAGACGGGCAGCGAAACTCTGCAGAGGTTGGTATTCCCTTGGGAATTACAGCAACAAAGCAAGAAGCCCGCCGAGTGGGGCTGCCTGCACCGGCAGCTCTCTCGGTCCCGGTGACGGGATTTCCCTTGAGGCCGGGTGATATTTGGTCTTTGGGACGCAAAGGCAGACTTGCACTTCGTCTGGCTCATGCACTCTTAGATCGGGGATGCTTCCTGAGTCTGATGCTGTGTTCATCTGACGAGGACACTCAGATGCCAGATGACGGTGTGTCTGGGGCTGTGGTGCCCAGGAGGAGCTTTCTAGCATTTTCCTCTCCTGTGAGAGCCCCCTGCTTCTGGGGTACTGCGTGAATTTGGAGGGTTCTGTGCTGAGGCCAGACCGACTCTGGGGGTGCACTACCTCCTGGCCAGCTGCCTTTGGGGACCAGGGCCCAGGAGGCCAGTTCACATCCCCATGCTGCCCCTGCAGCTGTGACTTTGGGTCATTATTACCTTTGCCTCTGAGCCTCGTTCCCGTTCCCTTTCTGTGCTGGGAAGGAGGGGATTCGAGTGTGACCTTCTCAAGTGCTCTCTCAGCGCCTCAGGGGCCTCCCTTGATCCTCGTGTGTACAGGAGATGCTTTGGGCTTTGAGCAAAATTGCTCTAGGTTCCTTTCAAATAGCACTTGTCTGGGGAACGTAGGCTCTTAAGTGTAGCTAGGTGTATTTCTGACCACTCATCTCTTTTTCTCCCTTTCCTGAGTGGCCTGGTCCTTCTCATGCCTGAAAATGGGCTAGGGTGGGGAGAGGTCAGGACATGCGAGGCAGGGTGAGGGCCTCGGGGCTCTGGTGCCTAGGTGTGTGGTCAGGTGAGGTGCCGTGAGCAGTCACAGAAGGGGCTGCAGAGCTGAAGACCAAGCTGCCAGGCCTGTCCTGTGCTGAGAGCTGCCTCTGAGGTCCCAGGAGGGACGGTTACTTCTTCCTGGGCTGGCGTCTTACTCCCTTCAGAAGCTGCTTCTAATCTTAATGCGGCTGAGGGTCCGAAGGTGTGGGTGGTAGGCGGGGTGCTTTGGCTCCTGGCTCTACTGTGTGTAGGGGTGACCGGGGTGGCGGGGGGGACAGTCCTTCCCTGGTAGGATTCCCGCTGTTCCCTGCACACACATGCCCTGCCTCTTCTTCCAGGTGGCCACAAAGCGGGCACAGGCCTGGTGCTACAGCAAAAACAACATTCCCTACTTCGAGACCAGTGCCAAGGAGGCCATCAACGTGGAGCAGGCCTTCCAGACAATTGCCCGGAACGCGCTGAAGCAGGTGGGTGTCCAGCGGTGGTCTGGCTACCTCTGGTGATGGGCCGCTGAGCCAGCCCCGGCCTGGCTGCCTTGTCCTTAACCTTCTTTCCTCGCTGACTCTTTTCCATGTAGCCAGAAACCCCTGTGTTTATCCAGGAAGGTAATGGCACAGTCTGCTAAGGCTTCCAGAAATTCCGCTCACTTGTGAATAACCTCAACCGTGCGGGGCAGCAAAGACCTCAGCCGAGGTCTCCCTGGTCTGACCAGCTGCATTGTTCTTTCCTTCTGCAGCTGTCAGGTGGCCAGGCCACTAGATGGCCCTGGTCAGACTGGTCCTTCTGTTTGAGGAGGGGATAAACGGGAATTTGAAACCCATCATTGGATCCAGTTTTTTTAAACAAATTAAATGTATAATTATTTATGTATGTATGTATGGTTGTGTTGGGTCTCTGCTGCTGCGCTCGGGCCCTGTCTAATTGCAGCAAGTGGGGGCCACTCTTTGCCCTGGTGCGTGAGCTCCTCACTGCAGTAGCTTCTGTTGCGGAGTGCGGGCTCTAGAGTGCAGGCTCAGTAGTTGTGGCACACGGACTTAGCTGCACCGCGGTGTGTGGGATCTTCCCGGACTAGGCTCGAACCCGTGTCTGCTGCATTGGCAGGTGGATTCCCAACCACTGCACCCCCAGGGAAGTCCTGTTTGGTTTTTTTAATCATATCTGAGCTGTAAGAGATTGCGGGCTCTAGGAATTGTGTTCCTTGGATAAAATTTTCCTACATTTTTTCTTTCTTTATTTATTCAGTTGTTCCCCCGAAATAACAGTGGCTTCTTGTTGGCAAGGGCCAGTTGAAGACTTTGTGACTCAGCAGCTCTGTTGGGGCCAGTGCATTGAGGCAGGTCCCAGCATTGTCAGTTGTCTGTAGTGGGCAGGTGAGGGGTGCGGTCGGAGGCAAAGGGCCCGTGGCAGCTGCAGAGGGCAGGGTGGTTCTGCAGCTCCTGGGAGCGGGTTTACAGAAGGCGTGCTTCTCAGCAGTCGGGGCACCTGGCCTGCGGGCTGTACAGGAGTCGTTTTTCACCAGTTCCCTGTTGGCTGGCATCACTGTTGGAGTTTTCCTCTCTGAATATTGCTGTCCCTCGAGCCTCATTACGGTGGCGAGCTGGCATCTTGGGAGTGAGATTGTTAGACTGCAAGGTGTGTGTATTTTTGCGGGCAAGCGCCACCTGGCTTCCCAGGGACAGTAGTAATCCTTCAGTTCCTGCCAGCGCGCTGTGGGCCTCCCCCTGGAGCTCCGCTGACACTCCCCACGGCAGAGCCCGTAGACAGCCCTCCCGCGGGACCCCGCAGTGCTCAGGAGCGCTTTTGAATTGAACCTCACTTCACCTGTTACTGCAGTGGATTTTTTCAATTCCTTTGGCCATAGAGAATTTTTTAGTTGAGTATGCAGTATTCACATACGTTGGGGTCTGTCCTGGCCGTCTGCCTGCTCCTTGCCTGGACCATCTTGATTTCACTGCCTCTGCGTCTGACCCCTGATCAGGCAGGCCTCCCCTCACTAATTTTATCTTTTTGGTTCATTTTATTCATTTTTTCTTTCTTCACCCTCCCTCCAAATAAGACCTTATTGAGATTCTGATTGGAATTGCATTACAGCCGTTGTATTAGTCTCTCTGGTGCCTTAACAAATACCACAGACTGGGTGGCTAAAGCAATAGACTTTTATTCTCTCTCAGCTCTGGAGGCAGAAGCCCATAATCAGGGTGCCAGCAGATCCGATCTCCGGTGAGGACTCTGTTACGACAGGAAGTAGCTAAGTGTGTGGGAAGGGCTGAGGGCATCAGATAGGGTCCGGGGTGGCCGCCCATGGCGCACACTTTCTTTTGGGGATGACAGAAGTGTCCTGGAATCACGGCGTGGTGGCGGCTGGCAACTTTTGAATATACCCAACAACACGGCACACGCACACTGCTGTGTTCAGCAGAGCTTTTTTTAAAATATGTAGTCCTAGAGGTTGTTACTTTTATAGCAATTGTGAATGGAATGATTTTTCCTAGAGAACTTCTGATGGATAGAACCAGTCCCTGCTTTCCTGAATCCTTGAACAGTTCCTGCTGCACAGGTGCTCAGTGTTTAAGTGACAAATTACTTCTCTACATCAGGAAGTAGAAGGCTGCTCCTCCCTGGAGACATGCTCATCAGCGCAAGGCCCGCTGAACTGACCCCAGTCTGTATCCCCACCAGACAAAGGGATCCGTCCTCGGCTGGGCTCTGCGTGTGCAGATCTGGAGATACAAAAAGGAAGCTAGACCCTGAGTCCAGAAAGATGAGAGCAGGTAGGGGGCCGGAGGAGCGCCCAGGAAGAGCGCCCAGGAACCTTGAGGACATGCTGGCTCAGAGCGGCCAAATCCAGGCCACGGGAGCGTCTACCTTCTTGTCAGACGTTGGTAGAAGCCTCGGAGCAGGCGGCGGCCCCCAGGCTGACGTCACACGGAGGGCGCGTTGGCCGTGTCCTGCCTGCCTACTCAGTGTCCGCTCACTTGGCTTCGAGCACCTTCTGCCAGGGCCCTCACTGCACTGCTGGGCCTGCTCCGTGCCCATGTCCCCATCTGCCCGGGCTGAGCTCGGGAGTCTCCCCGAGCCTGGACTAACCAGCCTGTCTCTCTCTCCCTGCCCAGGAAACGGAGGTGGAGCTGTACAATGAATTCCCCGAGCCCATCAAACTGGACAAGAACGACCGGGCCAAGGCCTCGGCAGAAAGCTGTAGCTGCTGAAGCGGCAGAGCGAGCAGAGCACAGAGCCCTTCGCGCACCAAGAACACAAGTAGGCCTTCCACCACGAGCCCCTCTCCTCTCCACAGTCAGTCATCTCTCACATCCAGCTGCCAAAAGAACCCCCAGACACAGTCTCCCCTGCACACACACACCCGACACAGACTCACTCCACAGCCCAGGCCTGTGCCGGCTCCATCGGGGTCCCTGCGTCAGCCCTCAGATGGCAGCAGGATGGGCCGGCTGTAGAAATCGTTCCGGTTTGGAGTCGGCCTCGGAGACGACTTCTTTTTGTCCACTGGAGAGAGAGAACTGTTTACAGTCAACCTGTGTCTAATTAGTTCTGGTTTTTTTAACTTGTCTTGTGGTCTTTTTACCCCCCTACCCCCGTGAAGGCTACCACTTGGGAAGGCGGGTGCCCTGCGCTTCATTACAGGCTCACACCCAGTCTGATCAGGCTGAGTTTTGTATGTATCTGTTAATGCTTGTTACTTTTAACTAATCAGATCTTTTTACAGTATCCATTTATTATGTAATGCTTCTTAGAAAAGAATCTTATAGTACATGTTAATATATGCAACCAATTAAAAATGTATAAATTAGTGTAAGAAATTCTTGGATTACGTGTTTAAGTCCTGAGATGCAGGCGTAGAGATGGAGGGTGAAGCCTGTCTGGATCGCAGAGTGTTTAGCCACTCAGATTTCAGAAATCCAGCTGGAGGCAGTATTCTGTACAGTAGACACGAGAATCATGTACGCCTTTTAATCAAAGACTTAGGAGCCAAAAAGCTTTTCATCTCTCCAGGGGGAAAACTGTCTAGTTCCCTTCTGTATCTAAATTTTTCCAAGAGGTTGATTTGCATAATACCATGGTGTGTGCAATGGAGAAACGGCTGTTTCAGAAATATAAAAACTCTCATTTTTCTTTTTTTTCTCTGCTCCACACTTTGAAACTCCCTTATTAGATCAGCATCCACGTACAAGAGAGAAAGGAAAAGGAAAACCCTACCAGACCTGTCCTAGGGACTTACCTTTGTTCTGGAAGGTGCTCCTTTCGGGGCTGTGGCATCCTTAGGTGAGCAGACCTTCTCTCCTTCTTCCCAGTACAACCCGCCATGCCTTCCCCGTGTCCTGGGTGTGGAGCCAGGCAGCTGTGCCCCAGGACCTGCCCCGCATTGTAGCTTGCTTCTCAGAGCACCTCCCTCTCTCCAGAGGCCTGCATTCTAGGGTGTGGGCCAAGTTCTTCTGTAAAGAGATGAACGTGATGCCAATAAAATGTAACAAGAACAAAGACCATCTGTCTTCGCCCTGTCTTTTTTCCCTCTTCCAGACTCGGGCTCAGGAGAGACCCTGTTAGCTAATCACTGCCGTTGCTTTTTCTGGGCCCGCAGGACTCTGAGGCAGAAAGGCCTTCTCCTCTCCAGCCCTGCATACCTGCCCCTGGCTTTTGTCTTTTGCATTTTTAATCACAGTATTGGGGGGGGACCCTGCATGGAGAGAGCATCGTCCCTTTAGAGGAGCAACCATGAGCTGCTGGGGACCCATGGACCACCACGCACAGCCTGGGAGTGTCACTCGGTCTTTGTGCTGCCTTGTTTTTAATGCTGTGATGGTCGACCGTCACATAGTTCTGGATCAGGACAGGAAGACCTGGCAGCACCAGCCCCATGTTCCAACATAGATAAGCTTAACAGCCGGGACTGAGTAGATGCCGCCCAGAGCCAACTGTACGAACTAGTCGTGTTTCCCGCAGCAGGACAGTGTAGGTGTTGCAGACGTAGCCTTTGGATTCTACTTGGGTCCACTTCTCAAGCCCCTCAGTCGTGTCTTTCCCCCGCTGCTCTTGGCCCGGACTTCACGTGTTAAAGTAGCGTCCTCAGGAGCTCACAGCCACAGCGCCGCCGCGGCCAGCGGGGCTTACCCCTGCTGCGGCCCCGCACCCTGGGCTGGGCTTGGGGGTATGCTGTTTGGCCTCAAGAGGAGCAGAGTCCTTCCCAGCTGGCGGCCTCGTGCTGGGCCGTGCTGTGTGGACCAGGCTGCTGTTCTCAGAGCGGGTCCCTCTCGCCCTAACCCTGAACATGACGTGGAAATGGACTTTGACCTCTGACCTCAGCCATGCCCTAAAACTGGTGACCATCCTTACACTGACCTGCTTTATTTTTGAAATGAGCCCGAACATAACCTTGTGGCCCTGATCGCAGCCGTAGCTGGCTGATTCGAAATTTGACTTTTAACCGACCTTGACTCTGTGCTCAGCTTCGTCTTGTCACTGACAATCATCCTAAACATGGTCCCCCTTGAAATGACCTTGAATCTGACCCTCCTCCTGACCCTGTCATATTCAAACTGAAGTTAACACTGAACCCTACCTCCCATGACAGCCTTCCTCTCCAGCCTGAGACTAGTCCACACCACGTCCCGTCAATGGCTGGCTGACCTTGGTCTCACCTTATCTACCTAAACTCCGTACGCACGGCTACACTTACCTAGATTGGGTTTCTCCACAGTAAGAAGTAAGGCTGAGACTGAACTCTGCACTAATACAGCATCTTTTCCCACATTCCTACTAAGAGTCAGCATCAGCACGTGCTTTTGAGAGAAGCAGGTTAGCTCCAGCAAGCAGTAAGATTTGCTTTTGAGGAGAATGGGGTTTGGAGTGTTTGCACCAATGCAGATTCTTCTCAGTAACACAGGTGAGTTCGTTTGAATTTGCTGTGCCTCCTGGTAAGAATGTGAATCGAGACGAACGTGTGCTGCTGTGTCTACATTCATCTCAGTTTGTTCTAACAAGAGGAAGTTACTTTTGAGAAGAATGGGAATGATTAGTTGCACGGATACAAATTCATCTCAGTAGTACTCCTCAGCTTGATGCAAACCCAGTCACCCTGTGACTGTGCATCGCTGCGCTTGCGTTCACTTCACTCCAACAAGCTGTAAGGAGTCTGGGACTGACGTTGTTGCACTGATGGGAGTTCTTATCAAAACCTCTATTCAGATTGGTCCTAATTCCTCCTACCTCGCAGTAAGAAAGTGCCTTTAGATGAAGGTGTGTTGCATTGCTTCCGTTCATGTTAGTTAACACTAACCAGCAATAAGGTTTTATCTTTGAGAAGAATGCCTGAGGCCGAGCTTGTCTGCACATATCTAGTAGCACTGGTTAGAGCTGAACGTAGGTCCATCACGGTTTACGCTGACCTGCAGTGGTTGAGACTAAGCTGCTTACAGTAATACGGATTCTCCCCATTACCACTAATTACACTCATCCTAATTGGCTCAGGCTCTCAGCAAGAGCTTGCTGTTGGGGTGAGAGTATACTGCTGAGTATATTCACCTTGTTTCATTAATCCTGACCCAGACCGTGATTCTCAGCCAGACACACTCAGGTTGAACCTCTTGCCTTGTCACGACCCTAAAGATCTTCCTGGACCTCACGCTGGTGTTGCCGCGTCTTTGCCTTCCGAATGACCTGACCACATGATGTCCTAATTTTAGGTTGACTTCCTGCTTCACCTCACACCAGATGTTTACCTTGAAACTGACCCTGAGCCTGACCCTGATCCAGTCTCTCACCCTATGGATATGTGTTCCTTGTGAATTGCCCTGATTTTTACCTTGTCCTGAACTTGACCCTGTGTCACACTTACGTTACAACCTTGGAATGACCCTCCTGATGCTGCACGTTAACCAAAGTCAGTGCTGAACTGGTCCTTGAATTTGATCATCTTGAAGTTGACCTTGAAACTGACCCTCACCCCTGGCCCAGATCATGCTGCCAGTGTCTCACACTGAGAAACTGACTTTTACCTTGAACTTCTCCACTCCAGTCTTGTCCTTCACACCGGGATGCTCCTGACCGTAATCCCCGTGAAGCAACCTTGGGTAAGCTTCAAACTAACCTGGACCTGACCTCGGTCCAGGGTTCTGTGCCTCGCTCTTCAGCTTGATCCTGAACTTCACCTTGACCCTGTGCACTGAAAATCACCTGGCCTCAATCCTCCTTGAAGTTCACATAAGCAAGAACTTGACCTCACATTTGAAAGTGGCCCTGTACAACTCAACAACAACAAAAAAACCCAGTAGAAAAATGGGCAGAAGACCTTAATAGACATTTCTCCAAAGAAGACATACAGATAGCCTACAAGCACGTGAAAAGATGCTCAATATCACTAATTATTAGAGAAACGCAAATCAAAACTACTCATACCAGTCAGAATGGCCATCATTAAGAAGTCCACAGGAATTCCCTGGTGGTCCAGTGGTTAGGAAGGCATGCTTCAACTGCAAGGGGAACGGGGATTCAATCCCAGGTCGGGGAACTAAGATCCTGTATGTGTGGGGGCAAAAAAAAAAAAGACAGATGTTCTTAAAAAAAAAAAAAGTCTAGGGCTTCCCTCCCTGGTGGCGCAGTGGTTGAGAGTCCGCCTGCCAATGCGGGGGACACGAGTTCGTGCCCCGGTCCGTGAGGATCCCACATGCCGCGGAGCGGCTGGGCCCGTGAGCCATGGCCGCTGAGCCTGCGCGTCCGGAGCCTGTGCTCCGCGGCAGGTCAGGCCACAACAGTGAGAGGCCCGCGTACCGCAAAAAAAACACACACAAACACACACACAAAAAAAGTCTACAGGTAACAAATGCTGGAGAGGGTGCAGAGAAAAGGGGACCCTCCTGCACTGTTCGTGGGAATGTAAGTTGGTGCAGCCACTATGAAGAACAGTATGGAGGTTCCTCAGAAATCTAAAAATCGAACTACCATATGAGCTGGCAGTCCCACTCATGGGTGTATGTCCAGAGAAAACTCTAATTCAAAAACACACACACACCCCAGTGTTCACTGCAGCACTGTTTACAAGACATGGAAACAACCTAAATGTCCGTCGACAGATAAATAGATAAAGAAGGCGTGGTACATAAATACACTGGAATACTACTCAGCCATAAAAAAGAACATTACGGGCCAGGACCTTTGAATATAGGTGCAAAAATTCTAAACAAAATATTAGCAAGCCGAATCCAATAACACATAAAAAACCATCATACACCACAATCCCAAGTCTGAATCCAAGTGGGATTTAACCCAAGTTCACAAGGAGGGTTCTCAACATCTGCAAAATCAATGTGATACATACCACATTAACAAAAGAAAACTCAAAAACCAAATGATCATCCCAATAGATGCAGAAAAAGCAAAAACAAAATTCAGCATCCATTCATGATAAAACCTCTTACCAAATTAGAATAGAGGGAACACATCTCAACATAATAAAAGCCATTTATGACAAACCCACAGCCAATATAATGTGAAAACCTGAAAGCCTTCCCGCTAAAATCTGAAACAAGACAAGGATGCTCACTCTCACCACTTCAATTCAACATAGTATTGGAAGTCCTAGCCACAGCAATCAGACAAGGAAAAGAAAGGTTATGCAGACTGGAAGGGAAGAGGTAAAGCTCATTATATACAGATGCTATGATACTATACATAGAAAACCCTGAAGACTCCACACAAAAATTACTAGATCTAGTAAATGAATTCAGCAAAGTAGCAGGATACAAGATTAATATTCCAAAATCAGTTGCAGGGACTTTCCTGGTGGTCCAGTGGTTAAGACTCAGCCCTTCGACTGCAGGGGCCATGGGTTCCATCCCTGATTGGGGAAGTTATGCATGCCACGAGGTGAGGCCAAACAAAACAAGACAAAAAAATCGGTTGCGTTTCTTTACACTAACAATGAAATATCAGAAAGGGAATGGAAAAAACAAGTAACTTCTAAAATAGAACCAAAATCCTAGGAATAAACCTGACCAAGGAGGTGAAAGACTTACACCCTGAGAACTACGAAACATTAATAAAGGAAATTAAAAAGGATTCAAAGAAATGGAAAGATATCCCATGCGCTTAGATTGGAAGAATATTGCTAAGATGGCGATACTACCGAAAGTAATCTACAGATTTAACGCCATCCCTCTCAAAATTCCCAAGATACTTTTCACAGAAATAGAATAAATAATCCAAAACTTTATATGAAACCACAAAAGACCCGGAATTGCCACACCAATCCTGAGGGAAAAAACAAAGCAGGAGGCATAACTCTCCTATACTTCAAACAATACTAGAGAGCTACAGTAATCAAAACAGTGTTGTGGGGCTTCCCTGGTGGCACAGTGGTTGAGAGTCCACCTGCCGATGCAGGGGACACGGGTTCGTGCCCCGGTCAGGGAAGATCCCACATGCCGCGGAGCGGCTGGGCCCGTGAGCCATGGCCGCTGAGCCTGCGCGTCCGGAGCCTGTGCTCCACAACGGGAGAGGCCACAGCAGTGAGAGGCCCGTGTACCGCAAAAAAAAAAAAAAAAAAAAAAATGTTTTATGGGTACAAAAACAGACATACAGATCAATGGAACAGAAAAGAGAGGCCAGAAATAAACCCACACACCTATGCTCAATTAATCTCTGACAAAGGAGACAAGAATATACAATGGAAAAACGACAGTCTCTTCAGCAAGTAGAGTTGGGAAAGTTGGACAGCTGCATGTAAGTCAATTAAGTTAGACCACTCCCTCACACTACACACAAAAATAGACTCAAAATGGCTTAAAGACCTAAGACATGACACCATAAAACTCCTAGGAGAGATCATACACAAAACATTCTCTGATGGGACTTCACTGGTGGCTCAGTGGTTAAGAATCCGCCTGCCAATGCAGGGGACATGGGTTCGAGCCCTGGTCTGGGAAGATCCCTCATGCCCTGGAGGACCCACCGCGTTGCACACTTGCCTTCTCCCTGTGAGTGTCCCTTGCACGTGCTGGCCAAGAAGCGTGTGACTGCCACCTGGTGCTGCCGGAGCCCTGGTGTGTGACAAAACGAGGCGATGGAGGCGCTGCTCCACCAGGCGGGCTCAGTCTCCCGAGATTCCTGACGTCTGGGGAGAAGCGAGCTCGCTGGCGGGAGTCCTGCCTCAGTTGGCACTGCAGGGCTAGAACCGCCCCTGTCGCTGGGCACTCGCCATTTTGCCGGAGCTCCAGGGAAAGGAGCCAGCGCTGGAAGTACATTACCACTTCGGGTCTAGTCTAGCTCATGGGTGAACCTTGAGTCCCTACTTTAGGCCAGAGGGGAGGAAGGGTAAGGGCTGTAACAAACCCCTCGCTTTAGAGGAGGAAAGCCAACTGGCTGAACTGGGGTCTGCACGTGTATCTGTATCTGTTGCTTCTCCTCGGAGAAGCCAGCATGGCTGTTAGTTCAGAGAAGCACACTGGGGCCTTCCCTGGCAGTCCAGTGGTTAAGACTTCCTCTTCCAATGCAGGGGGTGTAGGTTCGATCCCTGGTGGGGGAGCTAAGATCCCACATGCCACACAGCCACAAAACCAAAACATGAAACAGAAGCAGTATTGTACCAGATTCAACAAAGACTTTTAAAAAATGGTCCACATCAAAAAAAAAAAAAAAAAAAAAAAAGACCCTGGTTCTCTATCCAGTCAGCCCTCCACGCCTGGAAAGGACTGTTTGGGGGCTGTCTTGTCCAGGGGTTGTGGAAGGACAGGGAAACTGCCTGCCATCCCCCATTTCTGGCGCTGGGATAGGATCCTCCAACTCTGAGATCAACTCAGGTTACCCTGGGGATCATGAGAATCGTGGCAGGTCACTGATTCTCTGGCTATTCTCGCTGTAAAAACGGAAACTGCTGAAGCATATGAAAAGGATTATACACTATGTCCAAGTGGAATTTATGCCTAGAATTCAAGGATGATTCAACATACTCAAGTCTATCGATACACGACATTTACAGGATGAAGGCAAAAAAACATGATCTCAACTGATGCAGAAAAAGCATTTAAAAAAATTCAACTAGAAAGTTTCTGCAAAGGAAGCCATGAACACAATGAAAAGACAGCCTACTGAATGGGATAAAATATTTGCAAATCATACAGCTGATAAGCGCTTAATATCCAAAATATATTTAAAAACTCATACAATTCAAAAGCAAAAGAACAAACAATCCAATTTTAAAATGGTCAAAGGGGCTTCCCTGGTGGCGCAGTGGTTGAGAGTCCGCCTGCCGATGCAGGGGACACGGGTTTGTGCCCCGGTCCGGGACGATCCCACATGCCGCGGTGCGGCTGGGCCTATGAGCCATGGCCACTGAGCCTGTGCGTCTGGAGCCTGTGCTCTGCAACGGGAGAGGCCACAAGAGTGAGAGGCCCGCGTACCGCAAAAAATAAAAATAAAAACAGGCAAAGGATCTGAAGAGACATTTTTCCAGAGGACACACACAGATGGCCAACGGGTACCTGAAAAGATGCTCAACGTCACTACATCGGGGAAACGAGGCAAGACCACGATGAGATACCACCTCACACCTGTCAGAATGGCTATTTATCAAAGACAAGAAATAACACGTGTTGCTGATGATGTGGAGAAAAGGGAACCCTTGTGCACTGTTGGTGGGAGTGGAAGAGAGTATGCAGGTTCCTCAAAAATTAATAACAGAATCATGCACCGCACGTTTGTGGGGAACCTGGAGCTGAACAGTCTGTAGACGAGCTGCTTCTGGGTCGGGCCTCGAACGCAGCAGAGCGGCTCCCTCACCGCGATCTACTGAAAATCGGCCCTCGACACAGGGGTTTGTGAAAAAGTAAAGCAAACAAGTAAATTAAAAAAATAGAACTATCAACCCATCCAGCAATTCCACTGCTCAGTATTTATCTGAAGGAAGTGAAAACACAACTCGAAAGACAGCTGCACCCTCATGTTCACCGCAGCACTATTCACAACAGTCAAGACATGGAAACAACCCGAGTGTCCATCAACAGATAAACGGATAAAGATGTGGCACACGGATGCAATGGACTCTTAGCCGTAAGAAACGAAGGAAGTCCCGACATTTATGTCATCGTGGATGGACTTTAGGGCATCAGGCTAAGCGAAGTAAGAGAAAGACAAATACTGTATGATCTCCTTGATATGTGGCATCTAAAAATAAGTAAATAAGCCAAACCCACGGACACAGAGAACAGACTGGAGGTTGCCAGAGCTGGCGGGGGTGGGGGGTGGGCGGTGGGGCTCGGGGGTGAGGGGTGAAATGGGTCAAGAGGGCCAGGCTTCCGGTTACAACGTTGGTCCTGGGAATGTAACGTCCTGGATGGCGACCAGGGTTAGTCATATTCGACTGCATATTTCAAAGCTGCCGAAACAAGCTGTCTTACCTGACGCGCGGCAAGCCACAGGCTGAGATGCCGAGGTCGGAAAGCCGAGCGAGGAGACAGGAGAATAGACGCCACGGCAGGCAGGGGGCCCGGGTGGTTTCGGGATAAGGAATAAGGAAGCAGGGCGGGGTCCGCGCATGGGGGCCGCGGAGAAAAGTGACGGAAGAAGGGTGTGAGCCGGTGGAACTAGGCCCCCGGCCTCTGCAGGTTCAAAAGGCCGCCCTGGGGAAAGCTGCGCAGGCCCAGTTGGAGGGTCGGCGGTCCTAACCGGTTTCAACCGGCTCAGCTCTAACCGGGTACAGCTGACTCTGGGCTTTCCGGACACTGTTAGGCTGCGTGGAGGACACGCAGGTCTTTTTGTAGCAACAATTAAAACCGCCTTGATGAGTCAAGGCAGGTTACAGGTGAAATGGATTTAACTAAGCAGTCCCTGCAGTTTCACTAAGAGACTAGACCTTACAAGTTCTCATCAGAAGAAAAAGAAAATTTGTAACGATGTATGGTGACGGATTTGACTACACTTACTGTGGTGATCACAGTATATACAAATAGCGGTACACCTGAAACTAATGTCATGGTAGGTGTCAGTTACCAGTGTTTAAAACTTTAACCCCTTTTTGTGAAACAAACACTGAGTCAACTAGCAATAGAAGGAAACTGCCTCAACATAATAAAACCCACATATGAAAACCCCACAGTCAACATCATACTCAGCGGTTAAAGACTGAAAGCCTTTTCCCTAAGGTCAGGAACAAGACAAGGGTGCCCCCTTCCATCACCACATTCCGCAGAGCACCGGCAGTTCTATCCAGAACACTTAGGGCAAAAAAGAAATAAAAGGCCTCCAAATTGGAAAGGAAGACGTAACAGTATCTTTGTTCACAGATGGCACAGTCTTACATGTAGAAAACCCTGAAGAGTCCACGATATAACTAGAGATGATAAACTACTTCAGCAACATCGCAGAATACAAAAATCAACACACAAATCAGCTGCATTTCTATATGCTAACAATAAACAATCCAAAAAAATTAAGAAAATAATTCCATTTACGATAGCGTCAAAATTAATAAAATAGGGCTTCTTTGGTGGCGCAGCAGTTGAGAGTGCGCCTGCCGATGCAGGGGACGCGGGTTCGTGCCCTGGTCCGGGAAGATCCCACATGCCGCAGAGCGGCTGGGCCCGTGAGCCATGGCCGCTGAGCCTGCGCGTCTGGAGCCTGTGTTCCACAACGCGACAGGCCACAGCGGTACCGCAAAAATAAATAAATAAATAAAAATGGTCAAAAGACTTGGATATCTGTCCAAAGAAGAGACACAGGTGGCCAATAAGAACATGAAAAGATGCTCAATGTCACTAGGCATTTGGGAAATGCAAATCAAAGCCACCTTACACCCAGTAGTATGCCTATTACTCAAAACAAAACAAAAAGGACTTCCCTGGTGGTGCAGTGGTTAAGAATCCGCCTGCCAATGTAGGGGACAGGGGTTCAAGTCCTGGTCCAGGAAGATCCCACATGCCCTGGAGCAACTAAGCCCGTGTGCCACAACTGCTGAGCCTGTGCTCTAGAGCCTGCGAGCCACAACAACTGAAGCCCGCGCGCCTAGAGCTCGTGCTCTGCAACAAGAGAAGCCTCCGCAATGAGAAGCCCGCGCACCGCAACGAAGAGTAGCCCCCGCTCGCCACAACTAGAGAAAGCCCGCGCGCAGCAACGAAGACCCAACGCAACCAAAACAAAAGAAACAAACAAACCCCAAAAAACAGAAAATGAGTGTTCCCAAGGATGTGGAGAAATTGGAACCTTTGTGCACATGGAAATAATGTAAAATGGTGTGCCTGCGTGGAAAATAGTTTGGTCATTCCTCAAAAATTTAAACATAGCGTTACCATATGAGCCAGCAATTCCACTCCTATGTATTTACCCAAAAGAATTGAAAGCTGGGACTCAGAGAGATGGTCGTATAGCAAGTTCATAGCAGCACTATTTGCAATAGCTATAAGGTGGAAACAACCCAAGTGTCCATCAATAGATGATGGGTAAACAAAATGTGGTTTATATATGTATAACGGAATACTATTCAGCCACAAAAATGGAACAAATTCTGAATAATGCTGCGACATGGATGAACCTTGAAGCCATTTTACTAAGTAAAATAAGCCTGACATAGAAAAATAAATATTGTATGACTTCACTTAGATGAAGGCGCTAGAATAGGAAAAATCCTATCAACCGAAAATAGAATAGATGTTGTGGGCAGTGGGGGAATGGAGAGTTACTCTTCAGTTGGTACAGAGTTTCTGTCAGCAATGACGGAAAAGTTCTGGAAATAAACAGTGGTGATGGTTGCACAACATTGTGAATAGATGTCATGACACTGAACTGTATACTTAAAAACGGTTAAAATGGTAAAAAGTTTGTTACGTGCATTTCATTTTTGTTTTTAAAAAAGGGGAAAAAGGAAACTGCCGAGCTAAAGAAGTCAAAGGCAGTGTCTGCAGCTCACGAAACCTGAAAAGAGGCCTCAGCCTCACAGAACCCCAGGGGCCCCTGCCTCTGCCCGCAAACATCCTCCATCTTCTGTGATGTCCCTGCGCGGGGTGCCCTTTCGGCAGGAGCGCCCGTGCGTGGGCAAAGCCACACCGCACACGAGACAGCTCGGCCAGCTTGACTTCTGCTGCCGCTCCCCCGTGTATATAGAGAACACGAGCTTCTTCCAAGGTGTGGGAGGCCACAGTGGTGTGGGGCTAATTTCTTTGGCCATCAAGCCCTAAAAGAGCCAGTGGGCAAGGCCTGCCAGCCTCACTACCTGAAGGAGGTGGAAGCGGAGGGGGCCAAAGAACACCCCCTCAGGCACCCCTCCCTCCCCCGAGAAAGGCCCCAGACCCCGATTGCCCCCCCCCCCCCCCCCCCCGGGACCTTGGAGTGGCTCTCACCCACCCGGCATCCCGGAAGCTGGGAAGCCTGCCCCCTGGACCACAGGGAGCCCCAGGGCTCACCTCCTCCCGCTGGGGGCAGGGCAGCGTTTCCACTGCCCTGAGGCAGGCATTCTTTCTCTGGTAATGCCCCCATCCCCCCCGGAAATCCTAGTACCCGTCAATTATATCCCAATAAAACTGGAAGAAAAAATCCTCATGCCTGGGCTCTACCTTTGGCACTGTGGATTTCACTGTCCTGGGAGAAGGCGCTGGGAGTTTTTAAAGCTCACCAGGTGATCTGAGTGTGCAGCCAGGTTGAGAACCACTCTTCTGGATTGTGACCAATCAGAAGAGGCCGTGGCCCATGGCTCCTTAGGGAACTAGGAAAGGAGCCGGCGTCACCGTGGTCATCGTGTTCCAGTGTTCGTGGTCCTGCAAGATGACGGGTTGGCAGCAGACAAGTATTAGAGGGCACAGCAGTTGGTTTCTACTTCTGTTTTGTACGTTTCTGGAAAGGGGAAGAGAGAACCCCCCTTCCCTTCTCAGTCAAGGCCTGAAGCCCGAGGAGCTACCGTCACACGCCCCTCACTGTGCGCAGGAACTGTCCCCCTGGGAAGTCACACCTGGACCTGGAGGCGCCCAGGGCTCCCCGGAGCAACAGGGCCCCTGAGCTGCCCGCTGGGGCCCCAGAGCAGGGCCCTGGCTTATGCACAAGTGCACGTCGCTGGGTAGCACATAAACCATCCGGAAAGGGGCCAGGAACGAGGTGCAGATTCTCAGGGCTGAGTTTGGGAATCTCAGTGCTGCGCGGATGCTGCCAGAAGCTGCCTTGGGAGCCAAGCTGCTGTGCTGCTCTTTCCACGCTGACCTCTAGGTCCAGGGGGTGGGAGGGGCTTTTGAGAAAGTCGGCTCACAAGTCTGGGGCCAAACTCAAAGCGGGAAGAGTGCACCCTGCGGCTGGCCTGGCACCTGGTGCTGAGAGGCCCAGAGACCCCCACCGCCCTCTCCATCTCCTTCTAGACTGGTTGCAGGATCAGTTTGGTAAAGAATCTTTGGGCAGCCCTTGCTCCTCAGGGAGAAGCAGGTGAGGGAGCTGGGCCAGGCAGGGTCCCACCCTGAGGAGCCCCCAGCCGGCCAGTAACACGGAGGGATCTCTGGGGCTCAGGCACGTGCAAAGAACAGTGTCCAGGGGGTCTGCACACAGCAGGCTTAAGTGAAGTTTTCATAAGATCACGGGCAGACAGGGCTGAATCTGCGCTGAAGTCCAGGCTAGCAAGCCACGCAGGCCAACCCTGAGCTGCAGACGTGCCTTGTCTTACTTCTTACAATTTTTTCTTTAATCTAATTTTTTTTTTAATTTTATTTATTTATTTTTGGCTGTGTTGGGTCTTCGTTGCTGCGCATGGGCTTTCTCGGAGTTGCGGCGAGCGGGGGCTACTCTTCGTTGTGGTGCGCGGGATTCTCATTGCGGTGGCTTCTCTCATGGCAGAGCACGGGCTCTAGGCGTGTGGGCTTCAGTAGTTGCAGCACGTGGGCTCAGTAGTTGTGGCTCACGGGCTCTAGAACGCTGGCTCAATAGTGGTGGCGCACGGGCTCAGCTGTTCCACGGCATGTGGGATCTTCCTGGGCCAGGGCTCGAACCCATGTCCCCTGCACTGGCTGGCGGATTCTTAACCACTGTGCCACCAGGGAAGTCTTTTAATCTGAATTTTGAATAATGTTGAGAGAAGAAGAGATTATAGACTAAAAAATGTCGTTTTGCCACTTGTCTTCAGAGTGTTCTGCAGCCCGGGGCCTGCCTTCTACCTGGCATAGCAGCGGGGGCTGGGCTCATTGCCCCCTTATGGGCGCACCGTGCCCCTCAGATCACCAGTCCCTCGCAAACCATCTCATTCATTGATATTTTCTACCTGGCCAGGTAGGCCTGTAAGTCTGTGAACCCCGGGACAGATAAAATTAATGCTTTTGTCTTCTGTTTTGGTTTGGACTTTTGTTTTTTTGTTTCCTGGGACAAGATTGGAATAGAAAAGCATCCCAGACAGGTGGACAAGAAAGGCACAGAGGTGTGCAGTGTGGTGGTTCCACACGAGGACAGATCTCTGATGGTTTACCATCAGGCGAATCTGCGAAGCTCTGGTCCCCAGTGTCCGGTGTCACCACAGGGGCTGGTGGTGTGGATTCCTGACATACAAAGGCCAGCAGGTGCCGACTGTACAGGCCTTGAAGGCAGCATCGGGAGTGGCCAGTGAGGACCAGTTAAAAGGTCACTCTGGAAGCCAGCTCTAGTGGTTGGTGCAGTGGCAGGTCAGGTGTGCACCGCGGTCACTTGGCCATATCCCGGGAGAAGTCAGCTTTCAGGTTAGCCAGTCCTCTACTGGGGCTGTGGACATCTAAAAATCTGTGCAGGGTGCGGGTCTTGGGAGGAAACCAGCAGTTGGTCTCCTTGGCGGGCATAGATGTGGCCTACGCTGTTCTCTGAGCCTACCAGGCAGAGGTCAAAGACCAAGGTCAGCTTTGCAGAGCTTCTGCCATAGCCTGGCTGGGATCTATGGGGTCAAGCGGTCCCCACAGCGGGACGCCTTCCCTGGTGGCTGCCCGGCGGCGTCGGGGGGAGTCTTGCAGCGTCCTTCACAGAACCTCATCTCAGAGCCTCGTCCAGTGCAGCCCCGTGGGGAGTGACCAGAGGGATCTGTGCCCAGCGTACGAAGTCCTGGGGTCTGGCCTCGGTGCCACCCCAGGGAAACCTTGGCAAGGCCTCAGGAGGACCTGTGGCAGGAAAGCTCCAGCGCAGGTCCTGGACCAGCAACAGTACCCAGGGGTCCAAGCTCTCCAGGCTTTGGGTCAATTCCTTTTCCCAAACCTGCCCCAGCATCGACCCTTTGTTAAACGAGAGACTCCCCCCTGCCCCTTCCTGGGCCTGTCGCGAAGGGGGTCTGGGGGTCCCCGTGCTGACATGCGTCGTCTCCGGGCTTGAGGATCCGTGCGTCTGGTCCCCGGGGCCGCGCAGCCGGTGGGCTGTTGGGAGGGAGGCTGGCAAGCGGCCTCCATGGAGACGGGGCGGGGCGCGCGCCCAACGCCCGCCGGCCGAGCGCAGCGCAGTTACCCGACGGGCAGTCCAGCCGCACGGGCGGGGCGGGAGGGAGGCGAGCGCGGAAGGGCCGGGGACGCGGGTGAGACCACGCGGCGCGCCCCTTAAACCCGGAGGGGACTTGGGCAGCCGAAAACGCAGAAGCTGGGCGCCGGCTCCCGCTCCCCCTGACGCAGAGACGAGCATCCTTCCCGAGCATCCCGGGGACCCTTTCCGCTCAGTCCCCTCCACAGCGATTGACCCCGGCCGTGGTCGTTACTCACCCTAAGGGTGAAGACTGTCCTTCCCGAGAACTGTCCCCGCTCCCCACACAGAAAGCTGCCCCAAGGCCCCAACCTCTCTCCCGTTTGAAATGCTAGTTCCTCCACTGGAGCCAACTGCTCACTTGTCGAAGGCCTAGGGTCTGGGGGAGGGCAGGGGAAGGTGGTTTCTTGGACCTAACCCCCAGGCTCTCCAGGCGCGCAGTTTAATACCTTGGGCAGAAAAAACGGGCCGAATCTCACTACTCCCTGTGAGGGCCCTTTCTCTGTCACTTATTCGAACAAATGTTTATTGAGCATCTACTGTATGCTAAGTACAGAGAATTCGGTGACCCACACACCAGACAAGCTGACTCCAGGTGGGGAGGAGAGACTAGGCTATAAATGCAAAAGCTCAAGTAGTGATAAGCACTTTAAAGAAAAACTTGTCAAAGTGATGGGGAAAGATGGGGGTGGGTGGCCCTACTTCAGACGGGGTGTTTAGGGAAGGCTTCCCTGAGGTGTTATTCACCTGACTGGCAAGAAGGAATAGGGCCTGAGAGTCCAAGGAGGAGGGAACAGCAGCACAAACACACAGCGTGGGGTGGGCCGGCTGTCCAGGGCAGGGACAGGAAGGCAAGCCGCATAAGGCCGTGGGGAGACGCCTGTATTTTATCTTAAGTGTGATGGGAAGCCGCCCGCGTGTTTGAGGGGTGGGCAGGATCTGATGGGGTCCAATGGGGGCTTTGAGAAAACCTTGGCCTCTGTGAAGATGTGGCAACAGGGAGATCCACTCTGAGGCTTTCTCAGTCTTCTGGGGCAGATGGCGCCTAACAGGCAGGTCCAGAGTGAGCTTAGATGCCTCAAGACTGCTCGGCCCTCCTCCGGCTGCCCTTCCGCCGCTCCCTGGCTCCGGGGCCTGGCCCGGATGGAAAGACTTCTGCACCCAAACCAGGCTGGAGCTTGGCGAACACCTGTCCTCATCCTGGGACCTAGCCTTGGCCTTGCTGCCCCTCCCCCGGCCCTGGCTAACTGGACAGATGAAGTGTCAGGAAGGGCAAGAGCCCTGCACTAGGAATCAGACTCGGAGCGCAAGCCAGTGGCACCATGTGAGCCCTGCGTCTTCTCTGGACCTCAGGTTCTGCATGTAAGGTGGGGACAGGGCAGACAGGACTCAAGACAGGGTCGAAGGGTCCTTCCCACTGGATCCATCGACGGTCCCAAAGCGTTCAGGAATTAATATCTGATTAGAGGGAAATAAAGTAAGGGAACTCATTTTTGGAGAGCCGTTTATGTCAAGCTCTAGACTAGGTGTTGGTTTGGTGGCTTGTTTCCCCCTTTCACAAATATAATTCTGAGTCCTGACGGACCTAACTCCTGAGTTTGGAGTTAGATTCCTTTCTAGATTCTCATCATTCAATGCTACACAAGACAGACAAGCTCTTGGGGGTGGGGGACAGATGCTAAAACAAAAGACACTTTAGCTACCGAAAACTTATGAGAAAAGGAATGAGGATGACAGGACTGAAGGAGCCGATGGAACTCAAACCAGGGGTGGGAAGTGGGCTCTGGGAGGGAGGCCGCGGGGAGGGCAGGGGCGCCAGGACATAAAGTCTGAAGAGGTCAGCAGGCCCGAGTGCTGCAGGATGGTTGGGGAGCCCTGGAGGGTCCTGAGCAGGGAGGGCAGGGGCCCGGGCTGGGGGGTGGCAGCCCCCCCGGACAACGGCAGTTAGGGAGTGGAGTCCCAGCCTCTCAGGGCAGCTGTGAGTTGTTCTTGACCAGGAGAGAATGTCGGGATCGCCAGTCACACTGACATGAGCATCTGCGAGCCTCGCAGGCCCCTCGGGCTCTCGGCTCGGCCCTGGGACCGCGCAGACTCGCACTGGGACGGGAAGCCCGCCAGAGTTTGACTCCCATCTCATTCAACGAATATTTATTGAGGACCTACTACGTGCCAGGCCTCGTGCAGCATGGGTTGATCGGGTCCCTGCTCTCCTGGGGGTGGCAGGCATGAGAAAGCGAGAGGTGGTGTAAGACCAACTGCTAGAAAGTGGGGTGGGGGGGCCGCCTTGAAATGAGGTAAACAGCAAATGCTCTGCCATCTCTTTCTGGCCCGGGGTCACCAGGGACCTTACCCAGTCTCTCCTGGGTCCCGGTTTTCCACCGCAGGCAGAAATGCAGCCCCGGCCGCACGGGATGGGTGGATGCCCGGCGCCTGGGCCCAGGCTGCTCTCGCCCCCTGTAGGGCTTTGCGCGTCCCCCCCTCCCCGCCCCGGCCCCCACGGGAGCGTCTCCACAGCTGAGGCTGCTTGTAAGAAAGGAGATAAAGCCAAGATTCCCTTGTCGGCGCCTCTGCCCCGCAGGGCGACGATGGAAGATGGTTTCTCTCTTTGTAGCGTTTTGTCCTGGTCGCCGGGGCCCCTCCCCAAATGGTCTCTCCATCGCAAACCCGCCCGGGCTCCTCGGGCCTCAAACCCCGGGCCTTCTGGAGAAGAGATGTCAAGCTCTACCACAGCCCCAGGCTGGAAGACAAGTCTGGCCTCGCCCACTGGGCCAGCTCCCTCGCCGGGGGCACTGGAGCAGGCAGCCTGGGTCCCAGGAGACCCCTGCCCCGCAGACAGGGGGGCCGGGAGCCCGCATCTCCTGGGCCAGGAGAGTCGCCGGCTCCCCTGTCCTTGAAACAAGGGCCCAAACGCCATCCAACTCCACTGCTCCCCCCAGACCTGGCCCAGCCAGGCAGAGACCCCCGCAGGGGAGGCCCCTGGGGAGGCTGGGCTGGGCAGAGGCCGAAAGGAAGGGCAGGGGAAGGTGGGGACGGCAGGGCCAGGCTGTGAGGGGGCAGGATGCCACGTCCCTTCACACCCCCAAAGGCTGGTGGCCGCGGCCCCGGAAGAGATGGGGGGTCGGGAAGCCCTGAGGAGGCGGCCAGGTCACGGGGGAGGGGGGATGGCGGTGCCTGAAATGGGGCGGGGAGGTGGGGACACACACAGGCCAGGCTGGGTGGAGTCACAGAAGCCGGGATGGGCGTTCATGGGGGACGCGGGTGCGGGGAGGAGGGGGCGCTCGGAGGGCTGCACGGTCGCGGGGCAGCAAGGCTTAACCCAATTTATAACAGTGAATCTGGCGGCTACTTCTGGGCTCGTGAACAAAGGACAGTCCCGGAAACACCTTAGTAACAGCCCCGCCTGCCCCGCAGGAGGACACGACCAGACGGCTGCAGCCAGCCGTCAGGACAGGCGACCTGGACGCGGACCCGGTGTCCAGAGTCAGCGACACGCAGCCCTGTGCGCGCACAGCTCGCGAGCTGGGGCCAAGGGCGGGGGCTTTGTTTTCACTTCACATCCTTCTACGCCCGTTGTGTTTTATACCACAAATAACTTCACCAAGAAAAAACTACCCAGCACTTAAAGAAATGAAAGGAAAGAAAAGTAAAAGTCCTGGAGAAGGTCCCCAGCTCGGGCACAAGCGGAAGAGGGAGGTGGTAGGACCCCTCCTGGAGCCGAGCCACTGTTCACGTCCCAGGGTATGGGCTCCACTCTCCACGCCGCGCCTCTGATCAGCACTGCAGGCCCGTCTCTAGGATGGGGTCCTTACTCGGCACCCACGGTCCTCAGTCCCCCGGAGTGGGGGCCTCCCTCACTCTGACCCTGACACACAGCGCCAGGGGGTGGCGGGTGCTGCCGAGGTCTGGCTCCTTCCACACTGAGAAGCACCTAAGTCCCTTCTTGACAACCTGCACGTTAAGGACAGCAGCACTTTGGGGGTGTCTGCAGAGGTGGTGGGCAGCCGGGGCCCCGGGGACAGGACAGGACGCGGTGGCAGCTCAGTCCCCCGTTACACCTCCACCCCTTTGATCTCAGCCTCCCGCCTGGCGGTCCCACCCCCACCCCACCGCCGGCCCTGGGGGTGAGGGGCCAGAGGCCCTCACCACGTCCCCATTCAGGGCTTCACAATACACATTTGCATCTTAAAGGCAACCTCCCCACAGCCTCGTCTGGTGAATTCCCCTTTGTCTCCCCTTAAATACTGAAAAGCACTTAATGCCTCTTATTTACATTTCAAACTCCAAACTGGGCCCAGCCCAGGCTAAGGCTGGAGCCAACCTCTCGGTTTAAAACACCTTCTGGGGAGACAAACCCTTTGGCCTCTTAACTGTTACCCCAGCAGCCCAGCCACAGCCGACTGGGCCTTTCCTACAGCAGGCTGGCGACCCCACAGCCCTCTGGGCCTCCCCGCCCGGGGCTCCTGCCCAGGCTGTCAGAAACACTCCGAGGTGGAGGTGCCTCTGTTTGCCCTTTTGTGCGTGCACCCCTTATACAGATGGCAACACTGAGACCACCCGGGGCCCAGGCAGGTGGGTCACACAGGGAGTTTGGGGGAGGGGAGCTCCTGACTCCCAGAGTCCACCTTCCTGCTGCTGCGTCGCCAAGCAGGGTGTGCCCGGGGCTGGGGGCCGGCAAGGAGCAAGGCAGACCCAGCTACGCTCTCGGAGCCCCCCCAGAAATAGGCAAAACAGGGTCAGATAATCGTTAAGTGCTATGAAGAAAATAAAGCAGGGTAACGAGACAGGAATCCCAGAGAGGCGTCTTGGCCCGGCTGGCCTGGAGGCTGCACTGAATGGGTTCTGGGTGAAAGGAGCTAGCCACACAGCAGGTGCGAAGGGCCCAAGGTGGGAGCCCCTGGTGTGTGGGAGGAACAAAAAGCCTGGAGAGGGAGGGCGGCAAGCGCGGCGGCTGGGGGAGAAGTGCACACAGGCACCTATGGGTGGGGGGAGAGGGAAGAAGAGATGAGGAGGGGCCCATGCTTTCTGCACGTTTGGGGAGAAGCAGGATTGCAAGAGAAAATGGGGAGTTTTTGTTTCAGTGAGGACACAGAAGAGATGCTTTTTAGACATCCCAGGGGAAGCGGTGGGCAGTTCGCGGCGTCTGTTACTCGGAAGAGACAGAAATGGGCGTCACCAGTGTACGGATGGTGTTTGGAGCCCAGGACTGGAGGAGCCTGCCTAGGGAGAATATGCAACCCCGGCCCCGGGGAAGGGGTGGCCCTCTCCACCAGGCCCTGGCCAATTCCACGTGCTCCTTTTCCCATATTTTGGCATTTTCCCATTGGCCACGTGAGGCCTTCCCCACCTGTGACGTCCTTAGAAGGATGGCAGGGGGCTACCCAGGCGCGTTCGGTTCAAGAGGCATCCCTGAAGGCCTAGCGTCCTGGAGAACTGGGTAAAGCTGCTAACTGCCACCCAGGCCTCCGTGTCCTCACTTGTATAATGAGGTCACTGGGAGGAAATCGCCTCCCTGCCCACTCCCCAAGCCTAGAATTAGTCTCCCTGAGCCCTGGGCCCCAGGCAGCAACCCGCCTCCGGGCAGGCCAAGGAGCCCAGCAGGGCCGGTGTGTCCTCCCTGTGGACTGCCCTGCCTGCATGTGTCCATTCCCTGCTTTGATTCCTTCTCTCCTCCAGTTACGGCCAGGCCTCCCCCAGGGCAAGGGAGCCTCCCGGCACCCTTCACTGAACTGTTACTCAGGCCCTGCACCCTCTGCCCACTCCCCCCAACCCACCCCGGTCAAATCTTCAGATTTTTAAAAGGGAAATCTGAAATCTGGACTGCATTTCTACTGAAATCGCCTGATTTTTAAATCCTGGAAGTAATTTAGGTCTTAGTAAAACACCAGGCGAAACAGGCAGGGTCCAGGCAGAGGGTCTCAGAAGCCGGCTCTGAGGAGCAAGCAGCTTCCTGAGGGAGCTGCACTGGACAGACCGGCCCTTCCTTCTTGAAACTCTCTCCTCCTCGGCTTCCAGGACACCAGCCACGCCTGGCCGTCCCTTCCCCTCTGACCGTTCTTTCTCTGTCTCCAATGGGCAGCCTCCCTCTCCAGCCAGCCCCACGTCCTTCCTTCCCCTCCGATGACCCGGGGAGACAGCCCTCACCCCGCTTGCTGCTGCAAGCAGCTGCAGATTCACATTTCCAGCGACCTGGCCCCCTCCACGGCGATGGCTGGGCAGGTTTCAGTCGGGGGTCCTTCTGGGCTATCACCCTCTGCTCTCCCTTTGACCTTTCAGAGACCCAAGCTGGAGCCCCTCGTGCCAGTCGCCCGAGGGCCCTGGGCCAGCTCCCTCGTGGGCACCCCTGCTCCCACTCGACCTCAGTGCGCCCTGGTCCTCCTGGGAGGGCCGCCACGCCCACCCCCAGCACACCCACCCTCTGCTCACTCCCAGGGATTCTGCTCCCAGGCAGACCCCTCGGGGGCACGGGGTCTACACCTCGCTGCTTCTCACCCTGCACACACCCTGCATCTTCGGAACCCGAGATCTTTACTCAAGCCATGCAGTATCTGCAAGCTCCTTGCCACTGCTCCCCATTCCTCCCAAGGCTCAGCTCTCACAGACCCGTGTGTCCCACCCCCCCCCCCACGTTAGGAACTTCGGATGGTCTTTCGTCACCTGGGCTGGGCTCGCTAAGCGGCCCTCCTCCCTGGGAGAGGGTCTTGGCCTTCTCTGCAGGAGCCCGGGCTGAGATCCATCTTCCCTCTCCTACGGGCTGTACTCTCTGCCCCCTTTTGTGGCTCAAGCCCCTGATCCCCGCAAACACCCCACCAGCCTCAATTTCCTTCTCCCCTGGGGCTTATCCCCCAGCTTGTCGGAAAGCAAATGGGGGCCGGACAAGCGCCGTGACAGGGGGAAGCACAGACCGCTCAGGGGGCCTGCTGGGTCAGAAGGCCCGAAACGCACGCCGCTTTTTTGGCTTTCACGGGCTGCACCTCTTCTCACCCCTGGACCTCCAGTCCAACCCCCACCCCGTCCCACCCCCTCTCCTCCATGCTCGGGCCTCAGGGAACTGTTTATCCTGCCGTGGCCGTGGCCGCAGGATCCGGGCCTAAATCACTCACCCCAAAGGGATCCGCCCTCCTCCCGGAGCGTCTCCCCGTGGCCTCAGCTCCCCAAGTGGGGGCTCCTTTGGCTTCGAGAAAGATGGTCCAGCGCCTCCTCCGCACCCCCAATACTGGACCCAACGGCAGGGCCACCAGATTTGCACAAGCCTCCGCGTGGTACCCGGAGAGGGAGCCCCCGCTCTCAACTGCGCTCCCCACACGGGAGGGGGAGGGGTGTGGCCCGGAACGAGGAGCAACTCCCCTCCCCCATCCTCTCCGGGAAACCGTCCGGAGTCCGCGGCCTTCCCCTCTCTCCCAGCCGGAGCCGCCATTTGGCTTTGGGGGGAATGATGGAGGCTGCTCACCCACCATAAAATGGGGCACTTGTAGCATCTGCGGCGGGGGCGGGGGCGGGGGCGGAGGGGGGGACGGCGGCTAGGAAATGTCCCCAGAGAAGCACCTGCGGTCTTCTCCGCCGCCTCCCGCGTCCTGCCCAGGCCCCCGAGGCGTAAGGAGACCCCGGGCGCGCAGGGGAGGGCGCCAGCATCCGCTCTCCTCTTGCACTCTGGCGGAGACCCCCCTCGAAGCCGTCCCGGCTCCCTCCACACTGCCCTAGCCGACCGCGTGAGGGCGTGCCCTGTGTTAGTTCGGACAAATTAAAGCGCGTCTAGCGGGCAGGCCAGGGCCCCCCGGGACGCGGTCTGGCCTTGGGGGCCCGTGGACCACTCTTGGCTGACTGCCGCCGAGCTCCGGGCCGCGGGGCCTCCCCGGGGGCCCGCGCTATTCGGCCCTAAACGGGGTGCCCCCCTCCTCTCGCGCTCCCGCAGCCTAGGGTGCGCCCCTCCGTTCCCCTCTGCCGAGCCCTCCCTGGGCGCGGGCCGCCTCTCCGCCACGCCGCAGGCTCGGGCCCTGTCCGGGGCGCACGGCGGCGGGTGCGGCGGCGCCGGGGAGGCGCGGTCTGGGAAGCCAGCGGCCGGGGAAGGGGCTCCAAGAAGCACAAGTTGGCGCTGGCCCCGGACCAGGCTGTTGTTGTTCTCAACGTGGTCCGCCGTAGAGCCATAAAAGCAGAGCGGGGCGCCCTCCTCGCCAGAGCCCAGCGCGCACGCCCAACGAGCTCTGGCGGAGGCGGCGACGCTCGCGAGGCCGACTAAACCCGCTCCGAGACGGTCCTCGCTTCGGCTACCTCGCGTCGGACTCCTGCGCTCCGGCCGACCCCGCGCCGGCCCCGGCTCGGAACCCCCGCTCCGGCCGGCCCGGCCCCCACCCCAGCCCTGCCGCCCGGCCCCAGGCACGGCCGCGGCCGCTCCCGCCTGGAGCCGCCGCGCGCCCCCAGCCCCCCGGCGCCCCCGCGGCCCCTCGCCTTTCTCTTCCCGGCGCGGCCCCCGGGCTTCCGCGCCCCGCCCGCCACCAACCCGCTCGCCACCATGTCTGTGGAGCTGGAGGAGGCCCTGCCGCTAACGACCGCCGAGGGGGCGGCCAAGAAGGCGGCCAAGGCCGGCGGCTCGACCTCGCTGTCCCCGTCCAAAAAAAGGAAGAATAGCAAGAAGAAGAACCAACCAGGAAAATACAGCCAGCTGGTGGTGGAGACCATCCGCCGACTGGGCGAGCGCAACGGCTCATCGCTGGCCAAGATCTACGCGGAGGCCAAGAAGGTGGCATGGTTCGACCAGCAAAACGGGCGCACCTACCTCAAGTATTCCATCAAGGCGCTGGTGCAGAACGATACGCTGCTGCAGGTGAAGGGCACTGGCGCCAACGGTTCCTTCAAGCTCAACCGCAAGAAGCTGGAGGGCGGCGGGGAGCGGCGCGGAGCCCCAGCGCCCGCTTCCGCCCCGGCGCCTGCTGCGCATAAGGCCAAGAAGGCGGCCCCGAGCGCGGCCCCTGCGCGGCGCGCGGACAAGAAGCCCGCCAAGGGCCCGCAGCCCGAGAAGCGCTCGCACAAGAAGGGTGCCGCCTCCAAGAAGGACAAAGGCAGCAAGGCCAAGAAGGCGGCAGCCGCGGGCGGCAAGAAGGTGAAGAAGGCGGCCAAGCCCAGCGTGCCCAAAGTGCCCAAGGGCCGCAAGTGAACGCGGGGTACCGGCGCCCGCTTTTCCACCCCGACTGCACGTAGGTTTTGCGCGGGGCACCGGCCCGGGCCGCCGTGCGCGCTCCGACTTCAGGGGGCCCGGGCCCGCACCGGCCTGCCCATCCCCCGCGTGGGAGCGTTTTTTTGTTTGCTTTAAATTTTTGAAACGGCCCTGGCGATGCTCCTATTGGCTCTCGCCCTTGGCAACGGGTGTCGCCTTGGTTACCGGGCCCCGAAGGCCGCGCCGCGCCTGCGCGCGAGGACGCGAGGCCGCTCAGTCCTTCCCGCCCCCGCCCTGCCTGTTTCCGGGCGCGCGCCGAGCAATCGCGCGGGGCGCGGGGCCGCGCGGCGCTCTTTTTTCTTGTCGCCGTTTTTGGGGCACAATAAATTGGGCACAATAAATTGTTTAAACCTTTGAACCGCTCTTGTTTTCTTCCGAGTGGAGTAGGGTTGGGCGTGGCCGCCTCGGGGCTTGGGCTGGGTGGGGGGCGGGTCCCCAGCATCCCGGATCCGTTAGAGGTGCAGGCTCGGAGCCCGGCATGAGAGGGGGCCGGTTGGTCCCCGAAGGAGGTGCGGAGTTTACCTTGGTAGATAGGCAGTTGTGTCCACCGCCTGGGGGGCGGGGGAGCGGGGGCTTTGCGGGGTCTGCGGGTTAGAGACCTTCACGTCTCACAAGGTCACCGCACGCTGGGCCTGCACAGAGCTTACTGCGAATTCAGTGAGACTTCGTGTTACTGTGACAGGGACAGTGGAGCCAGGTTTTGGTTCACTCACCACTAACAGGTGTGGTCTGAGCAAGGCTCTGACCCTCCTGGAGCTTGTAAGTTACTCTGGAGTGCACACGGGACTCAGGGTTACAGACAAATTGGCAGGAATGACCCTCAACCCTGGGACACCCTCCCACCCTTCGTGTCCATCATATGGAATAGTTGTGCCTCTAGTTGGGCACTAGACTTGAGGCCTATTCTGACAGATGCTCCTATGAAGGGACAACCCTCCAAAACGGGGAGAGCCCTGGAGCAGTGGAAAGCCAGACAGCATTCTAGGGTAGTGCATATGCACAGATCAGGCTGAGCAAGTAGGTGAGAGAGCTGCAGGGGATCTCGCCTAGAGAAGAGGCCCTGGCTGGCAAGTGACCCTGACCATGGCCTGGCAGCCACTACCCTCCTCTGGCACACAGGCTGGGTAACAGGGCAGACCCTTCCCACATTGAGCAAGTGGCCAGCCAGTCCCACTTCAAGTCTCTCTCCACCCTGCTGCAGGTTCTCCCCACTGCTTCCTGCTGCAGGGAACTGCAGGGCCAACTGCCAATGTGTTATTGCCCTGGCCTGGGCCCAGGGCACACAGCAGCGGGCCAAACCAGCACAGGTGCCTGCCCTGCCCACGCTTCCAGTGTGGGAGAAGTGGGGAGACAGAAGTCACAGGGGTGCCACATCATTGCCCTCAAGGCAGAAGCTCGGAGAGAGAGACTTGAGAGCCAGATGGGGCCCTGATCCGGCTGGCATTAGGGCAAAGGCTGTTTTCAGTTCTTGGGAACTCCACCCACCTTGTCAGCCCATGTCCTGGCCACTTACTGATCAGTAACAGCTTCATCTACTTTGCAGTTTTGATTTTGGGGCAGTGTGCCCAGTGCCCTGCTGCAGGGCCACCGTGCCAGCCTCGGCCGGTCCCAAGCTGCCTGCAGAGCCAAGCAATAGGCCACCAGCAGCTAGCAGCAGTGAGAGGCCGCAGCCTCCCCAGGGTTCTGGGGGATGGCGCTCCTGGCCAGCTAAACGGAGCCCTCCCATTCCACACCCTCTTTCCCTAAACCAGAAACCCAAGCCCAGACGCCACCTGGGCTCACCCTAGTTGTCCAAGTCAGCATCTGAGGCTGGGGCCTGGGGCTTGGGTTTCTGACACTCTCCTAGGTTGCCCTGAGGTTCAGAGAGGGTTGGAAGGGCTGCAGGGACCTGGGCACGTGGACACTGCTCCTTCCTGCCCAACCCTTCACACTGAGCCACCTCCCCTTCCCAGAGTCCTCCCTGACCAAAGCTCCACCCCTACTGACTCTCTATCCTTTGAAGACATCCCGTGAGCTCCAAGGCCCCAAAATGCCCTTCAGGTTGGCCTTATGCCACACTGTCCTTCCAGATTTCCCACTGAAATCCACCCTTCACTGCTCACACCACCTGGCTCTTCCAGCAGCCTCTGGCCCTGATGCTGCCCCACACACCCTTGTCACCACCGCCCCCCTCCATTCTTTGAAGTCTTAGCCTCTGGCTTGTCCACGCCAAGGCCTATCTTCTCCAGGTAGCATCTCTCATTCTTCTGATAATAAAAAGCACTTTAATTTTCTTCTGGAGACAAACCGCTCCCCTACTCTCAGGCCACATGGCTCTGGGGGTCTGACCCTACCAGTCCCAGGGATGGTTGCGTGACCAAAGACCTGGCTGTTGGGTGTTTAGTCTGTTCCTTGGCCACAATGATTGGAGAAACTGGTTCTTGACCCCAGTGAGTTCAATGAGTCAATCCTGAGACTTCCTGGAACTAGTGAGAAAGAGGTGCTCTCTCACCCAGGATCACTAAGGGTAGGGACACTGGGGCCAGAGCTGCCAGTGTCCATCTTTGTCAACACATAGGGAAAACCCACCTGAAAAAAGAGCCAAGACATAAAGGTGGAGCCAAGAACTAAGAACATTAATGCAGCGTCTGGATCCAGCCATGCCTGAAGCTACATAGACCTGGCTATTCTGTGAGCTGATACTTGTTTTTCACATAAGCTAGTTGAAATTGGGTTTATGTCCCTTGCAATCTGGTCTCTCATTCCTTTAACTCACTTTATCCTCCCATGCCCATATCCTGGACCTTGTCATCTATTCAAATTGCTCTTCCTCAAAACCACTCTCCTAGGGTCCCACTGTCCTCCACCCACAGGTCCCCCACCTTCCCAACTTGCTCACTCAGACCCTTCGGCCGAGCTGCATCTCTGTAGGTGGGCCCCACATCCTGAAGTTGAACGAACACTCGGCGTGTGCCAGGCACTCTGAGGAAGGGCAGAGACCTCAGCCTCAAGACAGCCCAGCGAGGGAGGTGTTCCAACACTCACCTTACTGGTGCTGAAGGTGTATTTTCTGCCCTGACACCACACTCAGCTCCTGCACAGAGCGGGGGAGCTCATTTACTTACTGTGTCTCTTGGATTTGGCTTCAAGGGGCCTCAATTCCAGGTGAACACTGAAGGCACGTGACACTGAGGCCCTGGAGGAGGTATCCATTGTGCAGCAAAGGAGACAAAGGACTAGGTGGTTTTCTTGTCTGTAAGATAGGGCACAGCAACAGCCCACGCCCGCACCCACCGATGGAGGGGACTTGGGTGGGGGGCCCACAGAGGATGAGGTCAGGGTTCTGAGCCTGGGTCCACCATGGTCTTTTCTCTGGAAGAGAAAAAAACAAGAGAAAAAACAAGACTGTTTTCTCCAAGCCTCAGTGCCCTCACCTATAAACAGAGCCAAAAACGATTTCTCTTACTCACCTGCTGACCAGGGCAGTCTGAACACACCACCCCTGGCCATGGTCTCAGGTTTCGGTCTCTTGCACCCCTTGGGTAGCGCTCTCTCCTCCTGTGAAGCCGCTTCCTTCCTCTCACAGGGCTGGGACCCTGCCTCCCTGTGAACCTCCTCAGGATCTCGGGTCTACCCTCTGCACTCCTGGGTGCTACTTCTCCCTGGGCCCCGGACAGCTCTGCACACACTGCAAAGGCCCCTTTCCAGGTCGAGCAGCCTGAGCGACCCAAAGGATGGGGTCTCCACCCATTCAACTGCTGGGGACCAACCCAGCTAAAGCTGTCCTCTGCCAGGGCAGGGCCTGGCACTTAGCACAGGACTGAAACCCATGTCCATGTTGCCTCTGACCTTGGCAATGAGGGTATCCTGCAGAAGCTGAGACCTTTCATCCAGAGCTCAACATGTCCACACCTGG